AATGTTAAGCGACCCTTCCCAATGACATCACCTTTTGGTGAGAGAAATATAGAGGGTGTCTCGGATTTATGGGCGCCGAAATTCAGTAATTTCTAAGATAGAAGTAATTCACCGAAACCACTTCAACCGTTGTTAATTAGTTTTACCAGTTAGGCTTAGGCTTAGGCTTATGGTCCGTTTGTGAACCGGTCGTGATCGTGGGTGACCCACCAAAAAGACGGCGAAGGAACAGGATTCCTCGAAGTTCTCGGAGGGGCGGATTGTCAAGCAGAAGCTTCATTACGGTTCCAATCTTATGCAGTGCACTTAGTTTCCAGGTTCAACGGACAGCGTGGGGTTAAAAAATTCCGGTGGTTGCCGACCCATATACGCTGTGAAACGCAACCCTTCATCGTTTCCTCTGACTGGAATTTTTTACGAAAAAACCATTCCTCAAGAAATAAAACTATCACACTCTTTATATAAACATCGAACGTGCAATCCCTCACAAAAAGGTGCAATAAGAACAGCAAAATGATGTTTTTTGATAGGGTCACTGACAAGGGTAAGACGCCGATGGTTAGGTCGGTACCGGCATGAAAAGTGACAAAGATATGTGCCTAGAAAGCATACTGATAGACGTACTGGAGCACTGATCATACTCCGCTCCCTGAAACGGCCTAGTCCTTCCAGGAGGACGGTAGTCCAGACCACAAAGCCAAGTTTGCCCGGTAGTGGTGTTGATGCTAGCTGCCAGGCTTCATTCAAAGAGGAATGGCCTTCCAGATCTTCACTCAATTGACTCCTCCGTATGGGCCCCTGATTAGAAGAGAACCTTGCCGGATTTGCAGTCTCAGTTTGGATGGAGTCCTAGAAAGCAGGGCTCAAGAACGGCTACGAAGGAATGAGGAGCATACCTGCGTGCAACATGCGAGGAGTTCGGGATCAAACTTAGACCTCCATTCACGCTCATGGAGGATATTTTAGAATGTGATTGTAGCATGCTGTAGAACATGATGTACACAAACGTGTATATAGTTTCCATTGCCATTCTTAGCTGAGAAACTTTAAATACATTGCTATGAAGCCCATAATTTTAGGACACCCTGTGCATACATTCAATCTAGAAACTGAACATTTCTTCCACGCTGAACACCTTTTCGTCAGGATTGTGAGCCGAAGCGCTTGTTGCGTACATTAGGGCATGGAAGTTTCCGAAACCTATTTGGATACTAGTATTGTCTCTTCATAAAGAGGAGCATATTGGGGAGAACGGTAAGGCCTCTTCGCATCAGGATGAAGGAGCACCTGGATGGCATGCAGAAATCGGGAATAGCTTCCCCTCTGGGAGAACAAAGGGTGCGATGTCATGGGAACATGAGGTTCGAGATGCAGCCACGATTTTATCACGTGAATCCGATATCGCGGCTTGGTGGGACTTACAATTAGTGGCCGATCATGGTTTTGGACCCTAAAAGTAACGGAAGGAAAGAGTGCGTGGCGTGTACCACAGAGCTGGCGCCTTCTGTAGCACTATGCGGCTTTGACTTACGCTGTCGATCCCAGGGGGCTTGTACAGTAACCGACAGGTTTGACTGGGAGACGTCAGCACTGCGTTCGGCCTTGTGTGGCTTTTGAGAATGCTTGATCTACGTGATCGGCCCCTTGGTGGCCCTTGAAGCAAGCTGACCTGAGGCTCATCCTATTTAAAGTAGCAGAACCGATACCAAACCAAATACCGTAAAGCATCGTTAAAGCAGTAGTGGAGAAGTTCGTAATTGCAGTGGAGACTTAGACTAGGTGAAGGCAGTGTACACCTGTGTCGTATACCAAAATTCAAGTTTCACGATGTTCATATGTGGGTTAAGGACGTTGACGTTCTCTGAGCAAATTGAATTGACGTCTGCTGGGCATGCCTTGGATACTTTGAGCGAATTCCACTGCTACACGTGGAACATGACAGGATGTCGCGGAAAAAAGCGACGTAAAGATCAGAGGGCGGAGTCACGAAAGGGCGCGACCTAATGAATTGAAGGACCCTAATTACAGTAACACAGAAAGGTTTGGGACTTCACAAGTCCGCGCAACCTCACAAATCATTGATCGCTGCCAAGGGGAGCTCGCGGGGAGTGCGATGAAGCGATTATCCTTTATGTTACTCTTTCTCTGCGGCTTGGGGAACTTCTCTACCATAGTTCATAACCTCTTTAGTCGTACTCATACGTTGTAATGCTGTTGATGTTGCCATGTTAATTAGTAATGGTTCTGATACCGTTGTTTATTTGATGTAGTAGTATTATTATTGTTATGTTGTTATTTATTTTTGTTATCTCATAATTTATTAGCTTTTATTTTTTAAATGTTATTTCTTTTTCTCTTGGTTGTTATGTTGTGGACTATCTTGGCTATTTGTTTTGAAAAATTGATTGTTTTAGTACTTTTATCGTTTTTTGCCAACCCTCATCCACTGATGAGCCTCGGGGTTGGCAAAAAACAAAGTAGTTCGTCTGGACGTAAGAGGCGAAAAAACCACCAAGTAAGTTCAAACTAATGTGGTTTGATTGTTATTTTTCCTTTTTTAATTGATAACTAGTGTTGTTAGGTTCTACCATTGTCATCCTTGATCTCTGAACTCACCTTGCCTCTTCACCACATTGTCACTTGTTACGGTGCTGTTACCAATCTCGACATGTTACTGGTTTCTCGTTGCCTCATAAGATAGATGGTCTCACCTCTGGGTTTTTTGATTTATCAAAAATAAAGGTTTAAAAACGGCTGTCCTGTGGTCGGGGTGGCTTGCTTACGTTTGAGGCGGAACTCCCGTGTGGCAATTATACACAAGAAGTGGAAAAGGCAAGCCACCCCACCACAGGACAGCCGTTTCATGGTGCATCGGATCTAAGCGAACGATCCGGATTGCTGGTACGACTTACTATGGTGTTGTTCAGCATTTTACAATATACTTACTATTGTGACGAAATAGCGATTGTAGCGAACCCTCTCATAGTTGCGAACAAACAAAATGACAGGGTCCGTTCAACTAATATCGCAGCAAGGTTTTCTAACCAGATATTCGAACCTGTTGAATCAGGTCATTGCGAAATATTCTAGCAAAGATGCGACAGAAGATTCTTCAAAACTCTCTCGGAGATGTCTATTGAAGTAAACGCCAACTTGAAGCTAGTGAGCGACGCACTTGAAAACCTGGCAAGAACTGCAAATCAGACCGCCGAAGCGAATCATCTGGAGAGATGAGATGGACATCATTAATATGACGACGGACGGCCAACGAGCGGCACGTGTTTTTTTGTGCTCGCGCATCAGTGGTCAATCTCCTTTGCTACAATCGAACTTCTGCATCATTGCCATACTTGCGTTATTTATGGTTTCACGTCTACCGTTTGTGTTTGCGTTAATGCTGATATACAAGTCATTCGCAAACATATAAGCTTTAGCGTTATTCATAGCATTTTTCGAAGTATTCTCAATTCCTGTGCTTTATGCGCTGTCATTCGCATTCACAAATGTTTCCATGGCGTTCATGACCGTCACATTTGAATTCTTGTCTTTAATCTTATCCAATCTAATGTTGACGACGTTTTGCTGGTAGCTCTTTGAACGCGACTCATCCCATCTTGCTCACGCTGATCGTTTGATGCGATTTTTGGTTCTATTTTGACCATTCGCTCTCGGGCGGGCATACTTGAACTCGATGTAGTAACAAATGACCGTTGCAACAATATCTGTGTTTTTTCTGGGTGTGAAGCGGGGCGGGAAAGTTTAGCAAGCTTCAAGTTCTTAGCGAGAGAAAGGGAGGGCAGGGAATTAGTCTATTTGGAGCAAAACCTGCCCCTTGGAGCCAGTATGTTTACTCGGGTCAGTTACAGTTTCCCTCACGATGTATTGTATATGAATTTGATGTACACTTGACGTCTGCCTCGTAGCATACTCGGGTTTTGATCCAAGATCATCTCATACCGATGGGAGAATCGCACTTATCAACGTTCTCTGAAAGTCACACAACTCTAACCGCAAGAAATAAGTGCTTAGACAGGTTTTCCTCGTGATTCATCAGCTGTAACCATGGCCATATATCTCAATCGATCACAGATTTCGCAACATGTGATGCAAGAAAGCGCGAAGGGGGGATTACGGTCACTCATGACTTCGACAACATCTCGTGTTTTTCAAACGGTTTCAACGTCTGCCCGCCGAGAAAGCGACTAGCGAGAAGCGAAATAACTCATTATTTTAATATCACTTCACGTTTCTGCAACACAGACACTTCACTATTTACTTATTTATGTTAGATTCTAGGTTACTTCTTCAACATATCCCCTTTTCATATCGCCCTAATATCTACAACGTCATTCGGGTAGTAACCTTGCGATTGTAAACGCCGTTCTCGGGTTTCAGTTTGTCGTATAGTACTCACTTGCGATAGAAATACTTGCAATTCCTATTAAGGCGGCCGCGAGCCCTTTGTGAAGTGTATCGAATTTTCTACTGAGGTGACGCGAAGTGACCGCGAAGTTTGAAAAGGTACAACTGTTTTCGAGTGTCTGATTAATTCTAATAGCATTCTTGAAACGCACATACTCTATAGAATCGGGTGCCTACCCCGCGTAAGAAGAACAAAGAAGAGTAAGTGCGACATAGAAATGGTGGAGAATCGCGAAATTGCGACCAACCAGCAGGTACTATTTCGCGATTAATATTTTCCTTCCTTGGAAGGCTTCGATGAACATTCACCAGCGGTTTTGCAAATGGTTTCATTTTCAACCACGACATTTCACCTCAAGTTTCATCTCATTTCACTATTGCATTTCACTTGAGCGACAGTTCGAATTACCTTTTTAACATTTCATTTTTACCTTCGCGAAACAGGTTTTTTGCATCTGTAGGGTACCACCATAAGTCTAAGAAAAATAATTGGGTCTTTTGCCAGTCAGTATGAACAAATGGCGAAAAATCCTAACACATTAGGCAAACGTTTCTTGTGTAAAACCCCATCTTACAGCATGGATCGCTACGAAGAGGTCAAACGAGAGCTGAAACGGCTCAAAGCTGCCTTGCCCAAAGTGCCGTCGTCCACCAAGCTCTACGACGACATCGTCATAAGTTGCCAGAACGTCATGCTCGTCATCGAGCGCGGTGATCAGCTCGAGGAAAATACCCTTATTTTTTATAACAATGATTTATCTTATGTTGAACTTGAGCGGAAGTCCGCACTATTGTGTTAGAAACTCAAAATTGTAAAAGCCTGTTTGCAATCTCTTGTTAAACCGGTTGTTATTTTCATCAGTGTCCCTTTTAATTGCGACTCGAGCAATTTCCTCGAGAGCCTGGCAGTCCAAGATGGAGGTCCCTTAGAGGTACACCACTCGGGATGGAGAAAGGAAGACGCTGCTGGCAAACCAAGAGGATGTCGAACGGATCGCCAAGGACCAACTGAAAGGAATCGAAGAGTTTTTCGGCACCCTACGACAACTAAAGGCCGAAATTCTATCACAAAAGCGAGCTCTGCATAAGAGCACATACAAGGAAGTTTTGAAGGCAATTAACACAATGGATTCAGCGATGAAGCGAATTCAAGAGGACATGGAAAGAATGGAGAAGGCTCGTACTCCAGCACCACCAGCACCAGTATTGGTTTCCGTGACGATTGAAGCGAAACTGGACGAGGAGCGAGCTAGGATAGCAGACAACGCGAAATTCATGGAGGCAGTACGAGGAAGAGAAAGTGATGAAAAAGATGCAGCCCTGGGAAGGGAAATAGGAAGCGGAGCTAACAGAGATTAGCAGCCGCATGAGGGAACTCGCTCGCAGGGAAGTATGCCGGCGGCGTAAGTACCGGGCAGGAATATACCGCCGCGAGGAGGAGGAAATGTATTGCGTGTTTTGCAGGGCGCTTAAACGCCATTACTTTGACTCTTGCGGTCAGATACGCACCGGAAAGGAGAGGACGAAGTACCTCTGAAGAGCCCGAAGATGCCAAGTGTGTCTAGGGCTGGAATGCGAGGGCGGAGGCGACTGCGCGACAGCAAAGATTCCCTGCTTTCACTGTAAGAGGATAGGCCACGCATCGGGGACAGGTGTGCACACTACTTATCACTATCGGTCCAGGTCGAAGCGGACAAGCGACACTGCGAACCTGCGATCAACGACCCTAATGCATGGCTACGACATCTGCGATCACTGCGGGAGTCCAGGCATCGTTAATTGCGATGAAGCGATTGTCCTTTTAGTTACTCTTTCTTTGCGAACTTCTCTACTGTAGTCCCTACCCCTTTAGTTGTACTCATATATTGTAGTGCTATTGACGTTGTCATGTTAATTAGTATGGTTCTGATACCGTTGTTTATTTGATGTAGAAGTATTATTATTGTTATGTCGTTATGTTAACTACTGTTGTTAGGTTCTCCTATTGTCATCTTGATCTCTGAACTCAACTTGCCTCGTCATCACATTGTCACTTGTTACGGTGCTTACTCATCTCGCTGTGTTACTGACTTCTCGTTGCCTTATAAGATAGATGGCCTCACTTATAGGTTTTTGATGGATCAAAAATAAAGCTTTAATTACCTAAGTTCGAGGCGCATGTCCCATGTGGCAGTTATGCTCAAGAAGTGGAAAAGGTAGCATGACAACATTAGTCAACATTACGTAAAACTATCGTTGAGAATGTGATTTGTCATTTCCTTTAAGGTATTTGTAGCCTTCGTTATGTTGCTTTTGGGACTCCCGGCAGCTGTAATTCGTGGAAAACTTGCTCAGTCTCAAACGCCAAAGACGGTTAAAGTGTACGGTCGAAAATGCTAACCTCTGAAACGGAAAACCTTTTATACATCACAGTATTTTGGCCTAATTGCCTTCTGCGGAGTCCGTGAAATTGAAAGCATGTCTGTTGTTCAAGCGACTACCTTTTAAACTTACAAAAATAAATTTTGATGGCTATGAACCAAGAAACGGCAGAAAAGGTCGACATTGGCAGAAACGTAGGTGTTGGTAGTTTCTTCGAATTAAAGTGTTTCTCGGGCATTCTATTCGCGTGTTTGAAACCAGAGGCCGAGTGGGGAAGCTTACGGATAATCCTAGAATATAAAATACCTATTATGCCACTAGACGGTAGACTGATGGTAGCGTAATTGTCTAGGCATCAAACTTCATAGATTTGAATTATTCGAAGGCGTTCGGTTGGGTTTAAACTTATGGTTTCGTGACGTTATTCGGAAAAAAGTCACCACTGTTGCTGTGCTTGAATTAACGCCCTGTCAAAAATTCATTCACCTGATATGTTCTGAGTAGTAAAAAGAATATCGGCAGGTTTTCATGGAGTATGACATCGTAATGGAAAGTTCCTCAACTAGACAGAAATCGGTGGTAAGCAATCGAAATTTTTCTGCTAGCGTATGAAAGTGTTTCTCATATCGATCTTTGGAATTTCAAAAACGAGCTCCTATCGCTTCCTGGCGATGCCTATCCATATTTGCCTTTCTTATTAGTGAAATATCCTCACAGAGGTTAAACGGCACAGTATGCATTAAAAATTTCCGTGGTTTCTCTGTTGGATGAAGCTGTAGGCGTGATTAGGGCTCTTAAATCGGCCAAGCTGACGTACACATCCAAGGCGGATGAGCTTTTAAGCGTTGTGGAGACCGTAAAGGCTTTAGCATTTTGGAATCCTCACCTTGCTCGCAAGCAGCTGCTGCAGCCAAAGGTATGTGGCGGTAGTGGCGCGCCCATTCGAACAACTATCCCAAATACATGTCCCATGCAACTTCTGTCGACACATTCAAGTTCTTTCACTGACTTTTCTTCAACTTTGAAGCTTTTATTTCTCTCAATACGTCGGATTTGGCATTTTCTCTAGAGTTCTTTAAGCTATAACTTCCACTATAGGTATCCCCGAATTATCGTGAACTGTGCCTTCAAGTTCTTTCAACTCTTTCTTTCAACTCGGTGCTCAGGAAATTTTGATATAACACGATATAGTATACCTCAGCAAAAGCCTCTTTCGTTCCAAGGACTTATTTGTTAGAAAGATTGTTAGACAGTAAACAACTGAGTGGAGACTGTTAATTTTGCTTCTTGTTATTCTTGAAATTGTTAATTTTGTTTCTTTGTGTTTGAAATTGTTAATTTTGCTTCTTTGTTCTTGAAATTGTTAAATTCAATGAAATTCAATTTTAATTTTCGTTTTCAATTTAGATTTCAAGAGCAGGAGAAATGCCGAAATTTCAAAATGACAAGACTTGGAATTTGAGTCGAGACTTTTATAAATTCCCTAAGTTGTAAGTCGGAATGGTATATCAGCTTTACAATTGAGAAGGCGTTTCAGGGGTGAATCGCGTGCTTTATCTCGAGTGAACATTGGTGCATGGTGAAAAGCATGAGCGTGGTGTCGCTCCAAATGACACGCGATATTGGCCTATTAAATGGTTGCTGCATTTTTTCGGTTCTCACAAAGCTCCCTTTGGTGGCGTAATGCGAAAACATGGTATGGTAGAATGAATTCCCTTCGAGCAGCCATTCAACTCTGTTTGAGACAGCGCCACCATCACCAAATGCTTGGCGAGGTCGGATTTGGGAATTCATTTGCCATCATAAACGTGCTTCAATCTAAAGTAATGCACTGCTCGGAGCCGGCCTAACGGTCACCCCAAATAGTGTGGTCTATCCAGCAGGCAAATACGGTGCTGCATTCCGAATGGGGTGGTTTATAAAATAATTTGATAGAGATGAGAATATTGGCAAACGGCAATATCACTCCATATAAAAAATAAAGAGTACCTTGATAGCATGAAGCGATTGAAAGGGTTCAGTAGTTTAGTGGCCTTTCACACTGAAAACCCTAATGGAGGTGTCTTTGAGATCACCTTGAAGGTCGTGTCTCGAAGTGCAATTATGAGCGTGCAAATTTTTCGAGTCATTTTTATACACTCCAACAATGCAAAAATAAAGTGGAGTGATGAATACCTCTCAATCACGCGCGAATTGAGACCCTATGTAAGGATAAATTTTTCACAATAACCCCTTCAAAGACGAACTCTAGTTACTCACAAATTGTTTTTGATCCATTACAAACTATGAGGAAGGCATTATCGCAGAAATGTTAGCCTAATGAGGTTTCATTAAAACCTTCGTGAGTGTTCAAGATTTAAATTACATCAAGCAACGATCATGCCGCGAATTCCGGAAGCCCGTTAGCATAATATTCTCGGAAAAATTGTAGCATGGTGTGTTTCCAACTCGTTATCAACCCATTGATGACGATATTGTAGTACACACCGGATCAGGAAAAAATTCCCAAAATTCTGACTACTACTGTGTATATGGGAAGTAGTAGTGCTCAATAACTTTACCAGCATCTCAGAACTTGTTACTGATCCTCCGTTCTGCTTCTAATGGATTTTATAAGCTAGAAAATGCCTTGAATAACGATTCCTTTATCAGCGGATTTTTGAGAAAACATACGAATTCGTTGAATGAAGGACTTTTATAGTAGAGAGATTTAATTGCGCTGTTCAATTCGGCGCAATCAGATCTTTCTACTATGCAAGCATATTTTGGGCCCTTCACCATGTTTGAGAGAACAAAGTGATCGATAATTATATGATCAATGTTGCGAAATTTTGTATGAAGTTTATCGAATTGTGGTATTGCAGTTCATATGTGGGAGATTAGATGCAATAATGTAGCAACGACATCATTTCATCAAAAGTCGCTTTCATTTTCTGATGGTACGACCTGGACACGGGCAGTATGTAGCGTCCATTCCACAGCGTCCAGGGAGTCCTGGGGGTCCTCGAACACCTAAAATTTGGTAGGATGACTGCAAGACCTATATCACACTAGGCACGATATGATTCCCATTTCTCAAAGTAGCCCGGCGAAGGAACCGCCGTAGATGGTTACGAACGCTGATCTCAAATCTATGTTTCAAATCTGCTAAACGATTCTGGGAACAAAGTTACGGGACCGATGCTTCCCTGTGTTGTACCACTGTAACGAACGGATCACAGCCGAACAAAGGCGTAACTGTGCAATACTGGCACAGCTGATAGGACGGTGGACTGGTAGGCATGACGTAAAGGAATAGTGTCCGCGCTTTCGAAACGGTGAAACAAGTCAACTGGCATTGTTGCAGAAATACTGAANAAAAATAGCACATATGATTAGTCGCTAATTCTATCCTTGAGGTGAACGTCTTTTTAAGAGACCCCTCCATGGGGTAAACGTGGTGGTGAGGTGAGGCATGATACCACGGCTGTACTCAAAACCCTGAATCCACCAACGACTTGCTTCGACGTTGAGCCCTATGAGCCTTCATTGTTGATTTGAAGCGATATCCAGTGGAAGTGGCTGTCATGTAATGGGCCCCTAAATAGATTTTATGATGATTTATGCTTCCAACTTATCCGCTAATCTCCATTGGTAGGCAGATCAATCCGGTTGTTTCGAAATCACCTGAATGTGAGGCCGTAAGGGGCAGAAAAATTTTCCCTGTAGGAGCTTTTCAGTGTGAAGGAGCCCGTAAATGCCCAACAGTGGGCAAAAAACGTTCGGCAAGCGTTTAGGACGCATTTCATGGAAAAGCAAAACGAGCACACGCATCAAGGAATCAAAGATTGACATGCCTACCAGTTCACCGTCCTATCAGCTACGCCACCGTTGCACAACTACGTATTTGTTCGGCTCGGTGATCCGTTCGTTTATAACCCAGGGAGGCATCGGTCCCATAACTCAATTCCCAGAGTCGTCCAGCAGATTTGGAATACATGTTTGAGATCAGCGTTCGA